CCCTTAAAGGAGTCCAGCCTGGGAGCCAGGGGACCTAGGTTCTAAGGCCAACTCTGGTGGCAGCTGCTTGGGAGACCTTGGCAACGTCCTTCATCTTCTCATCTGTTTGCTACGTTATCAAATGAGACGGTTGGGCTTGGTGGCCTCAGATACCCTCTGTTTGCAGGTGTTACTCCCTACAGAACAAAAGAGCCTATCTTCTTTTCTTTTTCCTGGATAGTCTAGGGAGGAACCCAGGATCTCTAATCCCCCAGGAACCAATTCCAGGTCCTCACCACCATCAGGCCAGCAAAGTCTGTGGGACTCTGCCTTTTTTAGTTGATAATTTCCATTGTGTATCTGTGAAAGGGACAAAGATGCAGGGAGACCTAAGGGCCCAGAAAGGGTGCCTGTACATGCACACACATGAACACACATGCCTGGGCAGGGGTGGGGTGAGCCGAGGAAAACAGACCACATCCTTAGCCAGAAGCAGGGTGGGGTCCTTCTGGTCAGGGCTGGGCCAGGCTGCTGGGTGGCCTGGTTCTTCAAAGCCATCCCAGACTGAATGGGCCTTGTCTGAAAGGAGGGTGGGGGAGGGGAGGGCTTTTGGTGCCTTCCCAACCTTTACACAAAAGGGTGATTGCCCACAATCCCCTGGGACTTGGCCCAGTCTTGCTGGCCTGATCCTAAAGGGCTCCTGCCCACTTGGGAGCTTCCCTCTTGTCAGAGGCCGTGGAGTGGAGAAGGGATAAGAAGAGGGCAACTGGTGACTGGGTGTACTGGCAATCACTGTCTTCCCTATTCCCTTCTGAAGGGTCAGACATTCCCCAGAATGGGCAAATCCTGGATGACTTAATTCTCCGTATCTTTCCATCAGCACTGGGAGCTGGAAGAAGTCATAGCTTATTCCCAACTCCTTGACTAGGGTGGCTTTGAAACATTTCCTGGGTTCATCTAAAGCAGCCTTTGAAGATTCCATCCTTTCAGAGCTCTGAGTCTAATCCTGGCAGTGCTATGGGTCCCCAGTGTGACCTTAGACTAGTTATTTATCTTTCCTGGGAACTCACTATAAAAATGAAGAGTAGCTGGGCTCGGAGGCTCAGCCTGTAATCCCAGCGCTTTGGGAGGCTGAGGTGAGTGGATTGCCTGAGCCCGCGGGTTTGAGACCCGCCTGGGCAACTAGGCGAGACCCCGTCTCTACAATAAATTAAAAAAAAAATTAGCCGGGTGTGGTAGCGCGTGCCTGTAATTCTGGCTTCTTGGAAGGCTGGGGTGGAAGGATCCCCGGAGCCCAGCATGCGAGGCTGCGGTGGCCGGGAGCGGCCACTGCACTCCAGTCTGAGCGACAGAGTGAGACTCCAACTCAAAAAAAAAAAAAAAAAAAAGAAGAAGAGTTAGGGATAACCAGGTACTGCAAAGAGGGCTGAACTGGGAATGAATCTTGGTTTCAGCCTTCATGTTGCTACTGACTTGGCCTCGAGGTCTTCACACCCCACCTCCTCTGTTAGTCTTCATTTCTCTAATGGAAAACAGAGGTAATTACTAATGGCCAATCAGCGTGAATCCCCTGGGTTGTTTTGAAACACTCCTTAGCACTTTCACACACTAAAAGGCAGGCTGGGTGATAAACAACATTCTATGGCTCCTGGGGACCCGTAGCACTGGAAAGAGGTCTCTCATGTGCTGGAACCCCAGCTCCTCATGTGACAGTGGGAAGAGGTCTCTTATGTGCTGGAACCCCAGCTCCTGTTTTAAAAACTGTGAACTCTGATTCCCCACAGCCTGTCTCCTCAGGTCACGTCAACAAGTGGCAACCTACCTCCTTCTTTCCCAGCTTGATTTGACCCCTACTTAACTGGGCTCCCTTTGAACCTGGGGTAGGCTGGCAGCCCTATGTACATGTGTGTTCATACATGTGTTTATGTGTATGTGGTTAAAAGCCCAGGAGACTCATACCTGGATTCTTATCCAGTGTGTCCACTTTCTGCCTGTGTGGCCTTGAACAAGTGATGCTACCTTTCTGAGCCCTTGTTTCCAACTCAGCCAGACCGGGCTATTCAAAGGACCTACGACATGCTGTGTGCTTAGTTAAGGCCTGTAAGGAGCCCTGGAGGTCTTGCTGTTCAGATTTTGGGCCCAGGGAATTTGCAGCATGAGATGGGAGTAGGAGCACAGCCTCGCCCTAGGTTTCGGCACTTGCGCAACCACAGAGGAACCTTCCTCCAGCTCTGCCAAACCAAAGCCACAGGCACGGGCTGTGTGCTGTGTGCGGGGGCTGGAATTCCAGCGCGGCAGCTCAACAGCTCCTGATTCCCGAGTCATGAAGTCATCCCTAAACGGGGCTTAACTCCCCTGTGTACTGAACATTCCGCAGAGATTTCCCCGCCTGGGGGTGGTGGAGGAGTGATGGCCGCCCACTGCCTTCCTCTCAGCCTGACCCTGCTCCCTTCTGGAAATCCAGCATCCTGCCTCTATGGGGGTGAAAGAGAGGGCATGAGAGGCACGAGAGGGTCATGTTCTGCCCGCCTCTCCCCAGAAGCCCCAGTGGGGGAGTACAGGAACCTGCCTCAGAAGCAGCTTTCCTGGGCCTCTCCTGCTTTGTCTTAGGGAGGATGTTCCTCCTCAGACACCCTGCTATGTCACTGGCAGTCTCAGCTGGGTGACGGACAGCCTGAGGTGTCAGAAACGGTCCTGCTCTCTTTCCACTCCAAGCTATGTGGCTAATTCACTGTGTGACCTTGGGCAAGTCACTGCCCTGTTCTGGGCTTGACTTCTGTGGAAGGGGAGAACAGGAGCTCCCTGGGTTTCTAGCTATGTATAGTCTGTGGTTCTAAGCAGCCCCCAGTTCCTGCAGTTATGTGGTCTGTATATGAGATGTCTTTCAGAGTAAGGGCAAGATGTACCGAAATTAATTAATTCCAACTTGAAGCTGGGAGCTGTGGCTCACACCTGTAATCCCAGCACTTTGGGAGACTGAGGCGAGGGGATTGCCTGAGCTCAGGGGTTCGAGACCAGCCTAGGCAACATGGCGAGACATTGTCTACAGTAAATTAAAAAAAAAAAATTAGCTGGGCGTGGTGACACACGCCTGTGGTTCTAACTACTTGGAAGACTAGGCAGAAGGATTGCCTGAGCCCAGCAAGTCGAGGCTGTGGTGGCTGTGAGCGTGCCATTGCTCTCCAGCCTGGGCAACAGAGTGAGACTCCAACACATGTACAAAAAGTCCAACTCTCTTCTGACAAATAGTAGGAAGTTTAATGTCTGAGCTAATTAATGAAATAATGAACCTTGCTTAGGGCTGCTGTTCTGTGGCCAGAGAGAAACTTGAGCACAGAGGCTGGAAGAAGGGTGGTGGGCACCCAAATGCTTACTGTGCTCTTGCGGAAGTTTTGCTTCCCTCTCCATATAGTGATAGGTTGGGAGTGGAGTAACTATGCTGTAGGCCCTGGGAAAGTTCTTTTTTGCCTCCCCAGACTTTTTTTTTTTTCGCTTTTGAGTCTCACCAAGTTGCCCAGGCTGGTCTCGAACTCCTGAGCTCAGGCAATCCTCTCGCTTCGGCCTCCCAAAGTGCTGGGATTACAGGCTTGAGTCACCACTTCCGGCTGCCTCCCTAGACTTTGATACTTTCTTTCTGAAAGCTGCTTGTCAGGGATGGACCCAAGACTGCTGTGACCATCTGGATTTCCATGGGTACTGCATTGGATGGTTTGTGAGGGCAGCGACTGCCCTGCATGGTACATCTGCATCTGTGGAAGATGCTTGGGACACAAGACTGAATCCAGGAGTGCACTCTTGAGTCTCCTGGTCTGGGCAGCGCCCTGACCTGAGGCTGCCTTGGTGTGTTGATGAGCCAGCCCTGTTTGTCCCAGCCCAGTCTGACTCAGCTGGGAAAGGTGTCCCGGACTGGACAAAATCAGAGCCAGCAGCCCACTCCCTACCCTGTGTGAGTCAGCCACCACTGCATCATAGAACACTGGAGTCCAGCATCCTGGGGCCTGTGTGCACGGGGATTGCTGGCCCTGAAGTCAGGCAGCACTGTGTGCAGTTCTTACTTTTCCATCTGCCAGTCGTGTCACATAAGAAAATGATTTCCTCACTTGGAAAATAAGTTAATTAAGATGCCTTCAGAGTTATTAAGAACAGTACCAGGCACATAACAAGTGCTCAGTAAATGGTACCTCATAATGTTAATCATTTGATCATTACCACATTTACTGTTTTGTTTTTAGTTTTTTGTTTTTGAGTCAGAATCTTACTCTGTCACTCAAGCTGGAGTGCAGTGGCCACCCCAGCATCGATCTGCTGGCCTTCGGCTATCCTTCTGCCTCAGTTTTCCAAGTAGCTGGAACTACAGGCACATGCTACCACGCCCAGCTAATTTTTTAAAAAATATATGAGGTTTCACCAAGTTGCCGAGGCTGGTCTCGAACCCCTGGGCTGGGGCAATCCTCTTACCTCGGCTTCCCAAAGTGCTGGGATTACAGGCTTGAGCCACTGCACCCGGCCTCACATTTACTGGTTTTTTTTTTTGAGTTGGAGTCTCACTCTGTCGCCCAGACTGGAGTGCAGTGGAACGCTCCCGGCCACTGCAACCTTGACTGCTGGACTCCGGTGATCCTTCTGCCTCAGCCTTCCAAGTAGCTGGAACTACAGGCGCGCACTACCACGCCCAGCTAATTTTTTTTTTGATTTATTGTAGATGAGGTATCGCCAAGTTGCCCGGGTGGGTCTCAAATCCTCAGGCTCAGGCAATCCATTCACCTCAGCTTCCCAAAGCGCAAGATTATAGGCTGAGCCACTGAACCTGGCTACATTTACTGTTTTTATTTGTCCAAATGGAAAAGACATTTCCCTAAGGATACACAGAGTTGGGGGCAGAATGGAATCCAGAACCTAGGTCTCCAGATCCTGGCTTGGTTCCCTTCTACTGCTTGAATGCTCACTTCACTGGCTTTCAGGCTCTGGGTGTAGTAGAATACTAGGGATGTTGGTTGATGTGTCTCCTTTCTTCATCCTAGATCCGAGAGACGGAGGTCATCGACCCTCAGGACCTCCTAGAAGGCCGATACTTCTCCGGAGCCCTACCGGATGACGAGGATGTGGGAGGCCCTGGGCAGGACCCTGATGACTTTGAGCTGTCTGGCTCTGGAGATCTGGGTATGGAGGGTGTGGTGGGCAGGCCTGGGATATGGAGCTCTAAGGAATGGTGGTCTCATCAACCAGGAGGGTGACCATGCCTTGAGACTTGGATTTTTGTGGGAATTTTCCTACAGTGCCTCTCCCCTGCCTCAGTGAAAGGAAATGAACAGGATGAACTGTTTCCATCCCCTGAGACCCTTTCAGGATGAGTTGTTTGCTGCTTTGAATTCATTTGTAGCTCTGGGTTTTCTGAGTTCCAGCCTGAGCCTGTCCTTTGGTGTGGAGGGCAGAGTGGGAGTGGGGTAGGGAAGGAGGACTCATGAGTGTTTTCCTTCCTTTGGAAAGGAAAAGTACCAACTCAGAAGTGGGGATGGGGTGGTTGGGGGGAATGTGTGGGCAGAGATGTGGTTGGGGGACCAAGTACAAGCCCCTGCTTCCGTGGAGGGTGGGAGTAGGTGAAGGGTCCAAGGTCTCTTGGGACTGAATCAGGGCCAGTTGCCTTTTGTGGTCTTTGACTTCCTGGCCCTGGCTTCTGGGCCAGAAAGCTACTGAGAAGCATTCCTCCTGTGTGCAGGGAGGTATTAATGATTTGAAGTTTGAGCTTTGAGTCACATTGTCCTGAGTTCAAACTTCTGCTCTATGTGATATTTGAGCCTCAGTTTCCTAATCTGTAAAATGGGAAATGGGAATAATAATGACAGTACATCAGTGTTATGGGGGACTGAGCTGAGTTAAAGCTATTGGCATATACCAAATACTCAGTAAATGTGTGTTTATTGTTTTTTTGTGTTGGACTCTCACTCTGTCACCCATGCTGGAGTGCAGATGCATGCTCACGGCCACCACAGCCTTGACCTGCTGGGGCTCAGGCGATCCTTCTGTCTCAGTCTTCCAAGTAGCTGCAACCACAGGCGTGCTCTACCACACCTGACTATGTTGTTGGTTTTTTGTTTTTTTTTTGAGTTGGAGTCTCACTCTGTCACCCAGACTGGAGTGCAGTGGCCGCTCCCGGCCACCGCAGTCTCGACCTGCAGGGCTCCGGCTATCCTTCCGCCTCAGCCTTCCGAGTAGCCGGAATTATAGGCACGTGCTACCATGCCCGACTGATTTTTGATTTATTGCAGAGATGAGGTCTCGCCAAGTTGCCCAGGCGGGTCTCGAACCCGTGGGCTCAGGGAATCCACTCACCTCAGCCTCCCAAAGCGCGGGATTACAGGCTGAGCCACCGAGCCCGGCTTGTTATTTTTTAAAATAAATTTTATTATATACATTTAAGGTATATAACATGTTGTGGGATGCATATAGATAGTAAAAAGGTTACTATTGTGGAACAAATGAACATACCCATCATTTCACAATATTGCAATTGGAGTCTTCCTTTTCAAGCTTTAATTTCCTGGAGATCTTGTTAAAATGCACTCTATGCTTCAGCCAGTCCTGAAATTCTACATTTCTAACCAGTTCTTGGTGTTGCTGCTGGTTTCTGGATCCACACTTTACACAGCAAAGGTTTGGAGCTGACAAAGCATCTGCCCAGTTACCAACTCAAACTTTCCTGTGAAAGAGCCAGGAAGGCAGGTTTTAGGAGCTCCATTTTACAGATGAGACAACTGAGGTTGGGCTGGGGATGCTCACTTGCTGGACATTGAGCATCTGGGGGCTAGTTGTAAGGTGGGACTCTCACCAGCCATTGAAGGCATCATTTACCTGGGGTAACAGACCTCACACTCACACAGCCATTGTGACCTTGCAGATGACTCAGAGGACCTGCAGATCTTCCCTGAAGTGATCCCACCCTTGGTAAGTAGCTACATGCTTTTTGCCTCTCCCCCACCCTGCTTCTCTATAATACAACTGTTAAGAGGGGAAGAAAGGGGAAGGTGGGATTGGCAGTAGTGAGAAACTGCCAGGGGAGGTGAGGGGGGCACACCTCATCAACAAGGATATCTGCATAATGAACATTTGTATACCTAACTCTGAATTGTACCCCACATCTTTAAAATTAAGAAAAAAAAAGGCACAGAAAATACAGCCCCCCAAGGGCAGAATAAATAAGGAGTCTGATCCCACTCTGGAAGAAGGCTTTTTAAAATCTGGCTCTGGACTCATTTTGAGACAGGCAACTGTAGGTCAAAGGTAGGCCATCCTTCCTGCAGGGATAATCACTGTTAACACCAACTCCTTTTCTCTGCATTTATAGCTATTTCGAGCATTGATATTAAATTATATATATAGTTGTGTGTACTGCGATTTTTACTTAGAATGGTCATAAATATTCCTCTGCATAATTGTTTTATCATTTTTATAGACTTCATAATAGTCTACCTGATTCCCCTTATTAATGAAAAAGTTATTTACAATTTTTTGACATTTTAAAATTATATCACTGCAATGGGCATCTTTTTTTTTTTGAGTCAGAGTCTCACTCTATCACCCAGGCTGGAGTGTAGTGGCATGCTCACAGCCACCGCAGCTTCTACCTGCTGGACTCAGGTGATCCTTTCACCTCAACCTTCCAAGTAGCTGGAACCACAGGCACACACCACCACACCTGGCTAATGTTTTTGATCTATTATAGAAACAAGATCTTGTCAAGTTGCCCAGGCTGGTCTCAAATCCCTGAGCTCAGGCAATCCTCTCACCTCCACCTCCCAAAATGCTGGGATTACAGGCGTGAGCCACCACACTTGGCTAGTGAACATCTTTTTACACACCATTCCTGATTAGCTCCTTAAGATGGAGTCCCTAGGGCAAAACTGCTGCCTTAAAGGGCAAGCAGTGTCTAAGGTTTTGCCAAATTGCCTCCAGAGTGGTTGTTCTAGAATACCCACTGGCCAGCAGTGTGTGGGAACACATGCTTCTCTGTGACCCAAGAGGCCACATTCATTTCCCATTTGGGACAGATATACTAGAAAAGTTGGGGATAAGGATTTGACAGCATAACTATGAAAGATTGTTACTGATTCCTGCTCTAGGACCACATAGTTCAGCTGAAGATGGCACAACCACATTCTCTGCCTGGCTGAACGTCCCTGTTCCCTTGCCCTACCCCTCCCCAAACACACTGAGCATTTCTTCGCCTTTTCCCCCATCCAGGTGTCTCTAGATAACCATATCCCTGAGAGGGCAGGGCCTGGGAGCCGGGTCCCCACTGAACCCAAGGAATTGGAGGAGAATGAGGTTATCCCCAAGAAAATCTCCCCCTTTGAAGGAGATGAAGATCTGTCCAACAAGGTGTCCATGTCCAGCACTGCTCAAGGCAGCAACATTTTTGAGAGAACAGAGGTTTTGGCAGGTAAGGATCCATGCTGCTCACAAGATGCCTTGAAGAGGCAAAGGGGACTCAGTGGGGGAGAGTGTCAGCAGGCAGGGAGGTCTCTAGCTTTTGACTCCTTGGTGTTCCTTCCTTTTCCCCACTCAGGTTGCCGAGGGGCATTGAAGGGACTACACCTTCTCTGGTGGAGGGGAGGGAAATTTCCTATCAAAAACTTCTAAAAAGTAGGCATTGAGTCACTCCCTTGCTCTAAGCCTTCATTTATTTTTGAAAGGACTTTCACAGCCTGGGTTTGACATGGGAGTTCATCATTAAAAGTTAATTTCCTTTGAAAATCGGAAAGCTCCTTAGGATTGAGTTAGCATCCCATCCCTCTGGCAGCTTTTTGACCTTGACTGAGAAGCATTTGAACTGGGTGAACCTCAGTTTCCTCGTCTGTAAAATGGGGTACCACCTTGGGTTGGTATAATGAATTCATGAAAAATAATAACTTTGCAAACTGTAAAGGGTTGTTCGGATTTGTTAGAGTTATCAGTTATTAAATCTTCACTGACCCTTCAGTAGGTGGGGCACAGGGTATCTTCATGTGACAGAATAAGCAAGTGAGGCCTAGAGAAGTTAAATGGCCTCCGGCAAGAGCTCTTGACTCTAATATGGGGAAAGCTTTGTCCCAGGATGTTGTCAGAGGGATGGAGGGAACTCCTCACAGTTTTGCAGGTCATGAGGACTGGTCTGGATAAACCGGCCTGGTGAGTCGAATACCTTGGGCCCATGCTGGGTGATTCCTGTCTCCTGGGAACCAACTGGGTCAGCAACTCCAAGGCGGCTTGAATTTTAGGGAAAGAGCCCTGTGCCAAACATCATTGTCCTCCTTCCATCTAGGACAGATGAAGGATTTTGCCTGCATCTTGCAATGAGGCTTTCTGAAAGTATAACCCCAGGTGACTTTGAACCCAGCTCTGCTTTGACCGTGGCCTCCTAGTGCCTGAGCCAGAGTTCTTTTTACTTTTCTTTCACCACTTGGTGTTGTTGGGAGGTGGGTGCTGTCAGAACTAGGGGGACCCTTAGAGACCATCCTAGTAGTATAAATTTCCAACTATAAAATATTTGTGGAAGTATTTCAGCAGTGAAGCCTCCCCTATCTTTCCACAGTTTCACTTTTAGCTGGCATGTTGTGGATTTGCAGAAGGTTTTGCTTTAATCAGCTCAAGATTCTATTATTTCTAAAGAAAAATTTTAAAACTGTTGGTCTAGTCCAAGCAACTGTTTCTTATAACATGGGGTTCTGAGGTCAGGCGTCTGGTCACATAGCAAGAGAAGAACTGAAGCCAGACCATCTCTTTAATCTTCTGTTTGAAAATTGACAGCTATAAGATCCTTATGTGAAAAGTTACTTTGTTCAGCTAGCTGGACAGTGGAGATGGAGCCTTCCATTCCAGTAGCTTTTTAGCAGCACCTGAGAACTTTATTAAGTGCTTGCTATATGCCTTATATGATTCCTGGGCCCTTAATTGAGTCCCTACGACAACCTGAAACTAAGTTTAAAAAACTTGTTCTAAGACCCAGAGCTCAGGAAGTAGTAGACCACGCATTTGGACCTAGGACCATAGTCAGTTTCTGAACCTTTGCTTGAGCCTTGACCCTGTGGGAAGTCCCAGCACAGACCAAGGGCCTCATGGAGTAACTTTGATCATCAGAGGGAAAGGTGACAGGGACAAGAATGGGATGAAAGCCTGATAAATCCCATGTGCTTTTTCTGGCATCTCCTGAGGACACTGTGTTGCTGCTTTTTCATAGGGTTTTAACCATGAAAGAACCTTCCTTGACTCCTCTGTTCCCACTGTGTGCATGGATAGGTAGGTGTGTGCAGGGATGGAAAATTAATCTTCTTGACCTGAGTAAGACTGAATTAGGGGACTCAGTCTGGCACAGATAAGATTCTGTGAGACATCCCTGCCCCTAACAGGCAATAATGAGTCATTCAGGCCACCTGACACAGTGAACAGACCAGACCCTCACCCACAGTTAAAAACCCACCTCTGCCTGACACTTGCCAGGTATTTCTCTCTGAGTCTGAATATGAGTGTCATTTATTAGGCACCTCCTATTGTGTAGGCCTGATTCTGGGGGCTAGGGACACAGGTATAAACCTCAGAGCTTTACAGTCAATGAGTTCTGAGAATATGCTATGTACTAGGCAGTATCTAAGCACTTTCAGTGGATTAATTTATTTAATCCTTAGGACAAATGTATGAGAAAGGTACTGTTATCTCCATTTTGTTGTGAGGGTGATGAAGGAACTTGCCCCATATCACACTGCCAGTAAGTGGGAGAGGTGGGAGTAGATACCAGGCCTTCACCACTGAACTCTGCATGAGAACATAAACCCCAGTATATAACTGTAACACTACAGTGGGGACATCAGTGTGTTCTACATGTATGTATTTAGAATGTGTAGAAGTATAGACCTATATAGGTGTGTATTCATACAGGAAGAGCTAGAACACGCTTCTGTGCTAAGGATTGTGGCAAAAACATGTCCATGGGGATTTCCACAGCCTGACACTTCTCTTGTTCCTGGCTCAGTACCAAGCTGTTGTTGGAGAATCTGCTTGGTGTTTGGAAAGAGCGTGGGCTTTGAACTGGGGTTGATGTGGGCTAGAATCGTGGCCTTGACCCTGTAGCCCTGTGGTCTTCAGTGACTTATAATACCTAGTGACCCCCTTCTCATAATTGAGGTCATGAGAGTTGGCTTGCCTTGCACAGGCAGTGGTGATGGTGAGGATGTCTGGTTGTAAGAAAACTGATGGTGGGAGGAAGAGGAGGTACACCCCAAGTTCCTGATGAGGAGTTCTCACCCCCACCTCCCCATCTCTTTCTCCCCAGCTCTGATTGTGGGCGGCGTCGTGGGCATCCTCTTTGCTGTTTTCCTGATCCTGCTGCTGGTGTACCGCATGAAGAAGAAGGACGAAGGCAGCTATGACCTGGGCAAGAAACCCATCTACAAAAAAGCCCCCACCAACGAGTTCTATGCATGAAGCGTCCTCATGGGCACTTTCTTGGACTTCAGTAGGGAGGGAAGCCAGAGGATTTTGAAGGGTGGACATTAGGGTAGGGGGAGGTCAACCTAAGGTTGAGTTGTCAGGATCTCCAGCTCTGATTGCCTTTTAAGTATCAGAAGAGACATCGTCTTCTATTGTTCTGCCTGTCTCTTCTTGATTCTTTGGGTCTCAGTTGCCCTAGCAGAAAAATGGGGTTAAACTTGACCTTTCTGAAGGCAGGCTTGGGATTGGATCATTTCTTCAAGTTCCACTTTAGAATCTAGGTCCAGCTTCAAACCTATACTGGACATAACTTCATTCAGAGACCCCCTTATGGGTGGCTTATGGGTCCTTGCTGGAGGTCTGCCCCCAGCGGCCTTCCTCCCTCCCTTTCACAGCTTGTCCCTCTACCAGGTATTGGGGTAAGGAACTAGAACCATCTGCACCTTAAGATGTGTCTGTAAATGGGTACTTGTGATCATACTACGGGAGTCTCTGTGGTATACCTTGAGCCGTTCTTGGCTCTTTCAAGTGACTTTTGTAAATCAGCCTTTTTGATTTGAGGAGGGAGAGTGGGGAAAAGAACTGAAAGTTCATGCTGAAATGGATTTACAGAATATTTGTAAATCTTTTTTTTAATTTTTAAACAATTCATTCCTTTGTTCAGAGTATCACTCTGTCTAGGCAAGAATGTGGATGTGCTAAGATGTTCTTCACTCTCGCGATTTCCACAGCACCTGCTAAGTTTATATTTAATGGGGTTTTGTTTGTTTGTTTGTTTTTTGAAAATGAGAGAAGAGCCGGAGATATGATTTTTATTATTTTTTTTAATTATTTATAGCTTTAGACAGGGCCTCTCCTTTGCTCTTTCCTTTCTTTCATTAAACCCCCTCCCCAGTTTTTTTATACTTCACACTCCCCTGCTCATGACCTTGGCCCTTTCTGAAGCTGCTTCCTCTTAAGAAGTAGCTTTTGCTGAAATATAGTTTTTTAGCAGATCCCAAAATATAATGAAGGGGATAGTGGGGTATTTGTGTCTGTGTTCTTGTAATATATTATTATCCTTCCTTGGTTCTAGAAAAATAGATAAATATATTTTTTCAGGAAATAGTGTGATATTTCTAGTTTGATGCTGGCTGGGTGGTCGAGTGAGTGAATTTTCCCGTGATTGGGTAGGTTTTGCCTCTCTCTCTTGCCCTGTTCCTGGTGCCTTCTCCTGATTGGGCTGGAATAGTCGAGGTAAACGGTTTTTACCCTTTCTGCCTTCTCTTTAGGACCCATCTGGTGTTCTTTGGTTTGCTTTCTCCAAGCTCTAGGGCTGTGCTATACAATACAGTAACCACATGTGGCTGTTTAAGTCCATTAAAATCACATAAAGTTAAAAATTAATTCCTCAGTTACACTAACCACATTTCTAGAGGTGTCACCACATGTGGCTCACGGCTGCTGTATTGACAGAGCAGAGAGCATTTCCATCTTTTAGACAGCACTGCTTTAGAGAACTAAACTGATGCAAAAAGACACAGCCTCTGCCGTCTGACCCTGTCTCCCTGGGCAAGGGGAAGGGACACTGGGAAGGACTGATGAGGCCCTAGCTGGGACCTGTTAGCTGGGACCCTCCCTCCTCTATGACGGGTGAGGCCTGGTGGCTTAGTCTGGGCAGGCCGTGGCTTTTCCTGACCCCACTGGCTGGGGTGATGGGAATCACCCTTCCTTGCTGCACCAGTGGCCATTAACTCCCGCCACCACCCCAACCCAGGGTCCCAGCTGGCTGGGTCCTCTTCTACCCCCAGTGCCCTTTTCCTCAGGCTGTGTTGGAATGAGCACCTTTTTTTGTAGCCATCTCTCACACTGTTGTCTGTTACTGATTTTTTTTGATAAAAAGATAATAAAACCTGGTACTTTCTAGACTGCTTGCCTGTTATTTTAGTTTGTAGCAAATCATCTTTTCTGAACTCTGTGCCCTTTGATCTCTGTGGAGCGTGAAAAAGTTCCCCTGACCAAATCCCCTATGGGGGTGGGTGCCAGACAGTGGGGGTGGGGTGTGGAATCTAAGAAGGCCAAAAGGGCCTGGAGGAGAAGGGAGACATGCACCCTGGTGGTTTCTGCAGCATATTGCTTCTACTTCAGGGTTTTGTTTAGGTGGCCCCATATTTAAAAAACAAACACAAAAATCCTAGAATTAATTGCCACTTACAGAAATCAGGATGTTTCTCATAAAAACCCAGGTTTCTTGATTTTCTTGGAAAAAAACAAACAGCTCACGATTTGGCAACTGTCAGCCTGCAGGGCAAGAAGTGGGAGTTGCTGAGAGGCAGGCACTCATTCAGACGTGGGCTCTGCCACATGATAGTCTTTGCCAGCTTCACACCTGTCACCTGTGTGGCTCTGCAGGTACTGAGGTTGGCAGGCTCTGGAAATACCATTGACCAACTCTCCTGATCCTCAACGGCCCTGTGAGGTGGGTGTGATTTCCACAGGGGCAGCCTGCCTCTAGCTTGTCTGCAGAGTTGAACCTTCGATCCAGGTCCTTGGATGCTGGTTCTTCGTCGGCACCACATAGCCCTGTGCTGCACCAGGGTTGGAGGAAGGATGCAAAGAGGAATTGGTAGTAGTTATAGCAAATCCTCACACCATACACCATGTACCAAAAACCTATCTTGATGCTTTACACCTGAGCCCGTTTAATCATCAGAGCCTCACAAAGTGAAGTGCTGTTAGTATCCCCATTTGATGAATGGATAAACTACATCTAAGAAGTTAAAAAACTCTGCAGCATGCCAATAGTAGAGGCAGGATTTGAACCTCGAGTCTGCTCACAATTGCACTTCGTCTCCAAGAGTTTATGTCACCCAACGTCCCTTCATGTTCAGCCCCCACAAACACCTCCTGAAGCAATGAGTCTATTCTTGAATCTCAGCTCAAATCTTTCCTAAGACTCTGCTACACTCTCTCTTCTAAGTCCCATGAAGCTTGAGTGGGTCTCTGTTCTTTTTTTTTTTTTTTTTTTGAGTTGGAGTCTCACTTTGTCGCCCCGGGCTGGACGGGACGGCAGTGGCGTGCTCCCAGCCACCTCAGCCTTGACCTCCTGGGCTCAGGTGATTCTTCTGCCTCAGTCTTCCAAATAGCTGGAACTACAGACACCTGCCACCATGCCTGGCTATTTTTTTGATTTATTGTAGAGAAGAGGTCTTGCCAAGTTGCCCAGGCTGGTCTCGAATCTGTGGGCTCAGGCAATCCTCTCACCTCAGGCTCCCAAAATGCTGGGATTATAGGCGTGAGACACCGCGCCTGGCTGGCCTTTGTTCTTTATAACTTGTGTCTTGTCGAAGGAGCTAACATCTGTTAGATCTGTACTGTTCAATTCAGTAGCTACTAGGCACTATGGCTATTTAAATTTAAATCAATTACAATTTAAAAATAAAAATATAGCCGGGCTCGGTGGCTCAGCCTGTAATCCTGCGCCTTTGGGAGGCCAAGGTGAGTGGATTGCCTGAGCTCGCCGGTTCGAGACCCGCCTGGGCAGCGAGACCTCATCTCTACAATAAATCAAAAAATCAGCCAGGCGTAGTAGCGCATGCCTGTAATTCCGGCAACTTGGAAGGCTGAGGCAGAAGGATCGTCGGAGCCCAGCAGGTCGAGGCTGTGGTGACCAGGAGCGGCCACTGCACTTCAGTCTGGGCGACCGAGTGAGACTCCAACTCAAAAAGAAAAAAAAAAGAAAATATTTTCTACACCTATATTTATCTTTTAATGATGCTTTTAGTGAACAGGATATCTTAAAATTAATATGCTATAATTGAAACATTTTCCCCTTTGTTTGCATTTTGAAACATTGCATGAGAAATTCTTCTTAAACTCCAAAGCCATAAAAATATTTTATTATATTTTCTTCTAAATATTGAAAAGATTTTATTTTCTTATATAGTTTTTCACTCATCAGGAATCGACTTTTGTATATGATGTAAGTAGGGAACTTTAAAAAAAATAGAAAACCAGTTCTCTTAACACTACTAATTTAATAGCTATCTCTTTGGCTGGTTTGTAAAGTTTTTGGAGTTGTCTCTATGACTTGTGAAATTTCTCTATATGTATTGTTCTGTTGGGAACTCTATTCTACCCATCACTACCACATTGTCTTATTTACTGTTGCTATATAAGTCTTGATGTCTGATAGTGTATTTTGTTTTTCTTCAAAATTATCTTAATTATTTTAGATGTT